TGCGGATTGAATTTGAGACAAGCAAAAACGTATCAAAGGACACTACAGCATACTGTTTAATTTTACATGATAAATTGTTTAGCTATAATCCTCTAACTAAAATTGTTCATCAACTATAAAGTACGCATGAGCTGTTTTCTTAATATTAATATCAAAACTCATAACAAAGTACCCAGTATGATGAATACACTGCAGCAGCGAATTACAAAGCACCAGAAGAACCTTAAAGAGTTGAAATATTTAATAAAACTTTATTGTCTGAAGCAGCAAATGATAAAAGAGTTTGCAAATCTCCGTCTATAAAAATGATTTTGGTATTAGATGTACAAGGCTTTCGGCTAGAAAACAACAGATTTCTTCCCAAAGAGCTTGCCGGTTTCGATGGATCAAAGATTTTTCATTTCGTATTTAAACCACCGTTTGATATGGAGCTGTTACCACCAGAAGCGCACCTTCAAAATACATTGCTAATTGATAGTCACCACTGCATTGAGTGGAGTACAGGTTTTACACCTGTCCACAATATGAAAAATATTATAACACATTTAACTAATAAATACGATACAATTTACGTGAAAGGGCGAGAGCAGTTTTTATACCTGAAACAATTCATATCCAAGCCTATTGTGGAGTTAGAAGAGCATCCTGCGTTGTCTGCTACAGAGCCAAAATGTTTATTTCATACTAAAGATAATTGTTATTGCGCATTAGCAAACGTATATTTTATTTATGAAAATATTATGATGTCATAGACTTTTAATAAAAACTTAAATATTCATTATATTTTTATTTGTATATAACCCAACACTTATTAATCAGTTCAATTTTAGGAATTAATTAGGTCAGGTTCTGCCTAACGACGGTCACGACTAGTTTTAACATTTTATTATTCCATATAAATTATTTATATACCGCCAAAATTAATCAGTTTGTCGATAGAAGCAATAATGAACGCTTCGCAGTTAATAGTCTTGCAAACCATTTTGAAAAGTTTGCTAATTATACAGCGACCTTATAATTCAAAAGAGGTGTTTATTTGTTTTGATTATAACGGAACGCGTAATGACAGCTGGCCCATTAATTGGAAAAGAATGAANTACCACCAACTGGCCATGTGACGTCACTTCCATGCCGCCATGACACTTCTTGTATGACGATACTTCCATGCCGCCATGACACTTCTTGTATGACGTCACTTCCATGTCGCCATGACATTTCTTGCATGCTAACACCCACGCATCTCTTGCACAACGACAATGCCCACAAGGAGCCGCTGTAGGAGCGATGTACACTGACCCTGTGACTTTGACCCCATGTGACCTTGACCCCAGGTGACCTTGACCCTAGGCGACCTTGACCCCGGGTGACCTTGACATTACCTTGACCTCAGGTGACCTTGCCCCCAGGTGACCTTGACGTGACTTTGGCCTCAGGTGACCTTGGGGTGACCTTGACCCCAGGTGACCTTGCCACGTCACTTCCTGGTCCAGAACCGGCCTCATATATCTACTGCGGGGCACAATACACTTGCCTGCGTGGGGATTCTGCATACCTATGTGGGCATAACTGCGTGGGGGCCCTAGGGAGGCAAAGCCCTAGGCAGGGGCGAAGCCCTATGTGGGGCCCTAGATGGGGCAAAGACCTAGGTGGGGAGGGCTGAAGTCGGTCCTGCGGGGGATGTTGCACATCTGTAATTAACACCTGTCGGCGGCATCTTTTGATCTTTGCCGAAAAATTTTCCCATGGTCCCACAAATTTTCCCACGGTCCCAGAAATTTTCCCCAGTCTGAAGTGCCGCATTACCTACTGACAAGTAATCGTCGCATTTCAGCATGATAAAAAACAAAAAATTATAAGTGATATGCTTTGGTTTGATAACATTGATTTAACTAATATTCGAGTATTTTTAAATAGTGAAAGATATCCGTATCAAGATCTTTATTTAAACCTTAAGGCTAAAAGGTTTGCTTCTCTATATGAGATGTTTTCGACAAAGGTGATGTTTGTTCTCGACAAAGGGAATATGTCCAAAGTGGATCTGTTGTTATGCGGATTGAATTTGAGACAAGCAAAAACGTTTCAAAGGACACTACAGCATACTGCTTAATTTTACATGATAAATTGTTTCCTCTAACTAAAATTGTTCATCACCTATAAAGTACGCATAGGCTGTTTTCTTAATATTAATATCAAAACTCATAACAAAGTACCCAGTATGATGAGTACACTGCAGCAGCGAATTGCAAAGCACCATAAGAACCTTAAAGAGTTGAAATATTTAATAAAACTTTATTGTCTGAAGCAGCAAATGATAAAAGAGTTTGCAAATCTCCGTCTATAAAAATGATATTGGTATTAGATGTACAAGGCTTTCGGCTAGAAAACAACATATTTCTTCCTAAAGAGCTTGCTGGTTTCGATGGATCAAAGATTTTTCATTTCGTATTTAAACCACCGTTTGATATGGAGCTGTTACCACCAGAAGCGCACCTTCAAAATACATTGCTAATTGATAGTCACCACTGCATTGAGTGGAGTACAGGTTTTACACCTGTCCACAATATGAAAAATATTATAACACATTTAACTAATAAATACGATACAATTTACGTGAAAGGGCGAGAGCAGTTTTTATACCTGAAACAATTCATATCCAAGCCTATTGTGGAGTTAGAAGAGCATCCTGCGTTGTCTGCTACAGAGCCAAAATGTTTATTTCATACTAAAGATAATTGTTATTGCGCATTAGCAAANAAATACAAAGCTTACTCGACCAAAAAATAATAAGACCTTCTTGTTCGCCCTGGTCCTCACCTATTTGGGTGGTTCCCAAAAAGATTGACGCATCAGGAAAGCGAAAATGGCGGATAGTCGTCGACTACCGCAAGTTAAACGAAAAAACCATAGGTGATAGGTATCCGTTACCAAATATTACGGATTTATTAGACAAACTAGGTCGTTGTCAATATTTTTCAACTCTCGATCTGGCCTCAGGGTTTCATCAGATTGAGATGGCTGAAGAAGACATTCCCAAAACTGCGTTTAACACTGAGCAGGGACATTTTGAGTACCTTAGAATGCCCTTCGGTCTCAGGAACTCTCCAGCGACCTTTCAAAGGGTCATGGACAACATCTTAAGAGGAATACAAAATGAACGGTGTCTTGTATACCTCGACGATATAATAATATTTTCGACAAGTCTTCAAGAACACATAGATAGACTTCGTGAAGTTTTCGATCGTTTAAGAGCCGCGAATTTTAAAGTACAACTCGACAAGTCAGAATTTCTCCGCACGGAAGTCGCATATTTAGGTCATATCGTCACACCCGACGGGATAAAGCCAAACCCGGACAAAATTAGGGCTATACAAAATTACCTAATTCCATCAAATTCGAAACAACTTAAAGGTTTCCTGGGTTTATTAGGTTATTATCGCAAATGTATCAAAGATTTCGCAAAATTGACAAAACCACTAACAAAATGCCTTAAATAGGACGCAACCATAAACACTAAAGATCATGACTATATTAGCTGATTTGAATTATGTAAAAATCTACTAATAAATCAACCAATTTTGCAGTATAGTAGAGTGCCCGGAAGGGTTAAATATGCTTAAAAATCAATTCTGTGGGCCTCGCGGGGTTACAAGCTGAATTATACAGGGTGTCCCGGAAATGGTGGGCAATTTCTCGGATATGGATAGATAATGAGAAAATAATGTCACAAGTTCATATAAAATTTTTTCCTCCGGGCTCACCCTGTAGAGTTATTAGCTCTTGAAGTTGAAAAATAAAAATGGTTTTTTTGCTGTAACTTTTGTATTTTTCAATAAATTTTGAAAATTTTTTGGCTGGATCTATAATTTTTGAAGCTGCTTTGGATGATAATATGAAATCCTCGATAGTAATTATGGGGGTCCAGGGGCAAAGCACCCCCCACCAAAATTTCTAGAAAAAATTTTTTGTTCCACTATACCCCAAAATTTCCATCATTTTATAAAAATTTATGGTATTTTACGTAAAAAAGGTATACTTGTTGAATATCCATAAAAAAGATATTTTTTTAGATAAACCCGTTTAAAGAGGAAGGTACTATTTGATTTCAGACATTTTATTTAATTGAAACACAGATTTAATCGTGGTTGGCTTTTACATATCAGAATAAAGGACAAATAATTTGCAATAGCAGTGTTCCAAATTATGAGAATTTGGACTTAACTAAACTAACTAAATGAAAAGTGCATGACAATCAAAATTTTGTAACTAATATAATTCATAATAAATTCTCTTATACAAATACGAGTTCGTTTAACAGAAGACTGTTGTACTCTCCATAACATTTCAGGATTTTGTCGTATTTCATTTGCACAATAAAAAATCCTTTCTTCTAATTCTTCTCTAGTGGTTACAGGTGTATAATAAACAAGATTTTTCAAGTGCCCCCAAAAGAAAAAGTCAAGTGGGTTCATATCTGGAGTTCGGGCAGGCCAATGAATAGGTCCACCGCGACCTATCCAGCGATTAGGATAACCTCGTTTAAATGATCCCTTACTGCAGCACCAAAGTGAGGCGGCGCCCCATCGTGCATGAATATCAGTGCATTTCTGGTTTCAAGATCAACATCTTCTAACAGTTGTGGTAATTGATGCACAAGGAAATCTAGATAACGTTGACCATTCAGTCTAGGGGGTAACACAAATGGACTCAATAAGGAAGGACTCCACTCCATTTCACTCCAAACATTAACATAAAATTGTCTTTGGTGCCTAGTTTCAATAATAGCGTGTGGGTTCTCATCAGACCAATAATGTAAATTATGGGAGTTAATAACTCCATTCTTCCCAAAACTTGCTTCGTCAGTATACAGAATTAATCTCGTAAACATAGGATTTTACTCATGTCTCTGAAGAAACCATTGAGAAAACTGTACTCTTGCACGAAAATCATCAGGATTAAGAGCATGCACTTTTTGGATATGGTAAGAGTGAAGAAACTGTTCTCTAAGGATTCTTGCAACAGTGGTCTTTGGANGCCGAAAGTGCCACTTTATTTTTGAGTTCGGTGTAAATAGTGTGCAACGTAGAGGTAAATATTTGCATTTTACGGAATATGGTCCCACCGTTTTCAACAATGTGTACATAGTCAGTAAAGTCCAGCTCATGTTTAATTATACTTTTAGAAATACCTTTTGCTTTTTTTGTGACGTCACCTGCTTTTACGCAGTATGCCTTGGCGCCTGTACCGTAAAAACTTTCTATGGGTTTTCCTGCATATTCATCTTTCATTCTTCCAACTACCGATTTTGTAATGGGCATATTGTGAATATTAGGGTTTGGAAAATTTGATGTGTCGAAATATCCAATGTTCTGCTTTATGTCCTCATATACATTTTCTGTATACAGCTCTAATATAAGAGAGTCTGTGTCCGTATAAAGCACAGTTGCTTTGTCGCCATATATAGGTTTGATGTAATTATACAGGAAATCATATATTATTGTCTTCGAAATGTCCAATATTGAAATTCCCACGTAAAGTGGTTTATCGTATACGACTTTTAACTTTTGTAATTGAACAGCAACCAAATTTTCGTTAAATATGGAGCAAGATTTAAAATGTGGAAGGGCTATTAGTGCTCCTGCACCAGTAGAACCTTTTTTATTTTCCCAGCACGAACATAGTTTGATATTTTGTCTTTTATCAACGTTTTCCATTGTTTTACCAAAAATTGAGTTCACCATCAGTTTGAACAGATCCTTTTCAAATTCATTTTTGGACGCATTCCGTAGACTAGTGTTTAAATTAATATATGATCCCAACCATGTTGACTGTGAATATTTTAAGTACTGTTTCAGGTTTCGATAGTGAATTACATATTTGTACTTATCATTTATATTTGGTATCAGTTTAGCTGTTTTACTGTTTGGTGGTATCATACTCTCAGGACCTAGAGGAAGATCATTATGAATGTCATGAAGATGTGCTGGATATTGCAAGTCCACTTCCAAGGCATAACCTTTATGTGCATCATCATTTATATCTGAAACATTAAAGTTTTCAACCTCATGTTTCTCGAGCCATCGAAATCCTCCAGTTGGTAAGGGCTGTTTCATTGCTGCACCGTACAAGTTTGTGGCATCTAAATACATAATATAGGATGTCGGTTTCAGAGGATCATAACTAGGAATAAACTTGTTGTTGGCCACAGCTTTTCTTTTGCTACACTGAGCAACAACACCACGTATTCCTCTTCTAAAAAAATGCACAGAATCTATATCGGTTAACAGTTCCAGTTCTACTCCAGTAGAGTGTAACATGGCATCCCAACTCAAAGATGGCGCTGTTAGATAGTGACAGGGATCTAACTTATATTGTTTCAAACAAACTTTTCTGAAATTTTCAAAAACATCCGCTAACAAAAGAACATCAGATTTTAGGTATATGTCCGCGTATTCTCCCAAAGTTTTACAATTAAAGATGTTCCATATTTTGTTAGCTCGACAATAATCCTCTTCTGAAAGGGATTCCATAGTCATACTGTTATAAAATTTATTGATTGGTGGTAGATGGGGATCCTCTAGTTTGTCAAAGCTCTCCACATAGTCATAAGGAAACACACCCTTTCTTCTTATTAGACTGAACTCCTCATCATTTTTAAAGTATTTCCTGGTCTCTACACATTGCTCAGATGTTAAGGTCTTACATAATTTATCCAGTCCTTTAGCTAGAAAACGAAAAGAGTCCACAAATTTTAATTTCAGATATGTATCTGGTCTCTTAGGGTCTGCAGACTTTTCCACAAGTATAGATTTATAAAACGAGATGTATTTTTCCTTTGTTTGGGCGATGACGGACACAGATTCCTTTTTCAGTGATAACTTCTTGATAAATAAATGACTATCATAGTTTGAAAGGTTGTGAAAAAAAACTGGAATAAATTTCCCCACTTTATAATTCAAGTTACATGTTTGATGTGCAGCACCACGAAAACGTCCCGTTAGATGGCAGTGGTCTCTTGTTATTATGTCTTCTGGTTTAAAGATTTTGTTGCAAATATGACAGGTTGTGGCACTCTTAAAATCTGTTTTTTCTTGGTCTGACAGAGACATTTCCTTGATATGCTTGAGGTGATTGTTGTATACGTCATAAACTGTTTGATCTAATTTTTTCATAAATACTTCAGCAGCGTCAGGTCCTCTGTATATTTCAAATTTCGAATATTCATCATCAAACGTACACTTCAAGTAAAAGGCGAATGAGTATGGCTGGTGTTCTGATATTTTTACTGTAAACGAATTATCATTACATGGCTCATTGTGGTGAAGTGGTTTCAACAAGCTCTCAAAATCGGCATAAATGACGAAAGGAACAGGTAGCTGTTTTTCAAAGTTGACAAATTTTAGAATATTTTCAGGAATTGATTCTCCATACTTGTTTATCTTTAGATCAGTAGATGGTATCTTGACACAAACATGATTACAGTCATTGTCTTGGTGGGCTTTTAAAATTTCAATTTTTCTGAATGATTGCAGGCATCCATCGCAAATGTGTAATGCTCCATCGTGTAGAGATTTCTGTTTCGAAACTAATTTTGACAGATTTTTAATTAGGCAGTAATGATTATTGCCTGAATCATCAGAAACAAGCAATAAATTAACATGTGTGGGTTTGCGGCATTTGGTAAAATGTAGAGGTCCAACTACTTCTGTAACAGTTTTTCCATCTTTAAATTCCGATTCCAAGCCAAACACATTCACAGATATATTGTTCATTTCTTCGAATTTGGTGATGTCTTTTAATTTTACAGGGAAGTCTATACCGGTGAAATTAAGCAAAGTATCGTAATGCGGATATGAACTTGTTTGTGTAGGATTACTATTTGCGGAGAAAATGGCCGCATTAATTGCCCAAGCGAAACACGCATTGTCCTTATTTTGTATATTTAAAACTGCTTTTTTATTTTCAACACATCTCGGTAATTTAATATAGGTTGCCGCTGACATTGGGGTAAACTTGTTTATATTGACATCTAGGAACATGATATGTTTTAATGTCCATCCTGAGTCTTTCATCTGGAATTCAGATGCTTGAGAAGTCATTTCTTCTATAAATTCCTCAAACATTTTTTGTAGATCAGTTGATTGAGTCACTACTTTATTCTTAGTATTGAAGGACTTGATATCACTCATTTCTTTCTCAGGTATTACATAAAGCCCAAATACCTCAAAATTAATCTTGAACGTTGTGTGCTCCTGTAAGTATTTTATAATTATGTTTTCTATTTTTGGCCTCGCTTCATCCATAAATATTTTATAATCGATGTGAGTTTTGGGACTGTTGAATCGGTAAGTAGCTATTCTGTTCTTGAATGCATGTTGTAGTTTTGTAACTCCATCTTCCAAGGTCTCAATTACGGCTTGATTAACCCTCTTTCTATTGAGACTTGACGAATAACCAGCACCACTTGTAGAAGGTTGTGATTTTTTAAAAACGAAACAGTTATTCTGAATATGTCTGTTTAAGTTAAACATAGTTGAAAATTTTTTTCCACAATGTTCAAAAATAATATTGCCTAACTTTGGTTTTTTATTTGATGGACCTTCACTACACAGTCTATGGTGTAAAACCGGACAATACTCGCGAACATGTCGAGTTAAACTGTATTTATTTGAAAAAGCTTCATTGCAGTACTCGCACTGCATTGTAAATAAAACTGAGGAGTTGATGCATATTACTTTGTTTTATACCCTGACGCCTGATGCGTCGGAAACATCTGGCAACCATATACGACGTAATATTCTATTTTTAGAAATGATGTCATCGACAGGTGTGTTCTATTTTTAGAAATGATGTAATGTTCTATTTTTAGAAATGACATCTGGCAACCATATGCGACGTAATATTCTATTTTTAGAAATGATGTAATATTCTATTTCTAGAAATGATGTAATGATGACCTCTGGTCGTCTGGGGTCAAGGTCACCCCAGGGTCATGTCAAGGTAATCGACCTCTGGCCGTCTGGGGTCAAGGTCACCTCAAGGTCATGCCAAGGTCATCGACCTCTGGTCGTCTGGGTCAAGGTCACCTCAAGGTCATGCCAAGGCCATCGACCGCTGGTCGTCTGGGGTCAAGGTCACCTTAAGGTCATGTCAAGGTCAACGACCTCTGGTCGTCTGGGGTCAAGGTCGTGTCAAGGGCATCGACCTCTTGCCGTCCGGGGTCAAGGTTACACCAAGGTCATGTCAAGGTCATCGACCTCTGGCCGTCTGGGGGGTCAAGGTCACCTCAAGGTCATGTCAAGGTCATCGACCTCTGGTCGTCTGGGGTCAAGGTCTGCATATTGCACATGCTCTGCTCAGCACTCTCATTTATACACTACTCACATTACTTGTGGTACTTAACCAAGTAAAATAAAATAATCAGAGGCGTCTGGAAATTAAAATACACACAGATGGCCGCGAACGCTGTGCATAGCGTTATAAGAGCTTGCTCATTCTCAGGGTGTTTCACAAATTTATTTTTATTATATATGCACGAAATGAAAAATACTATTTAACAAGAAATGAACAAAATATGTTGCATATTTAATTTTGCAGACAATTGACAAGTTGTATTCTTACTTATTATCCTAAATCTATCCTATACTAATTTAGATGGTAAAATTTTGATATTTAGTCGACTTTGGTATTTTGAAAGAGAATTTTTTATAGCTTTAAGTTTGATAGTTATATACGAATTCGTACGATGAAAAAAATTTTTAAATTGGCCAATTTGTATAAGTATGACTCACGTATCACTTGAGTGTATGTCTGGTTTCGGATGTCATCCAGATGTAGTGAACCTCGTCCTGGTCGATGTTGGGTTATGTATGATCTGGAACAACGAACTGGTTCCATATACTTGATAGTTGATTGGGTTTGCACTTCGCCTGTCGCTATATTTTCTCACAGCACTTCACTAGTTTTTAATTGGAAATTTATACCTTGCACTTTTGGTTAAATGACACTGGTTCCTATCATATAAATCTCAGTGAATATTTGGACTGTTGAGAAATTTTTAACTGCTGGAAAATTTTTCACTTTTGACAGTTGTTAAAATACCACTTGTGTTAACTTTGAAAACTGGTAACTACGTATACATTTATTTATTTAATTTTGACTGGCTTTTGTTTATTTCAGGAGCGACTGAACGATGTTTATGGTTCGAGAAATTATGAAAGACTGGCTACTAGAAGCCCTGTAACAGTTTTTATAAATTGATAACAAATGAGGTTGTTGTTATAGCAACGTCAGTTTGAAGCTTTCTGAAATTTTTACACTGGAATTATGCCTTTATGTATGTCTTTTGCAGCATGACACTGATATATTCGGATTCTACATAATTTTCTGAAAATTTACTTACGTTGATTTTTAAAGTTTCTACAAAATTTTGCTAATTTATTAAAATTTAAGTAAATTAAGCTATTTAACTTAATTCTATGCCACTAGTATTGTTCCACAACATTGATATTAAGTTAATTTCACTATTTTGAACAGTTTTATCTTGTATGAATTAACCAATAACTAAAATGTTTTCAGGGTGGTCGTTACTTGACAACTTTCAATGTTTTCACACTATTTGGAATGTAAATTGGGATGTAAATAGTCTTATATGAATAGAAGGTCTTTTTAACAGAACACAGGTCATTTTACATCTGATAAATATCATTTACACAATAAATTTTACACAATGTTGAGTTATGGGTTTGACATATCGAAAATCGCTATATGAAGTTATCTAATGGTCTTTAATTTTAGTTCCACTCATAAATATAGACTAAAGGTATGATGAACTTTAATTATAGTCTTAGTTTATTGCATGGATTTAATTTATAAGTGCAACTCTTTCTTGTTCTACGATAAATCTACCTGTCAAAATCTAAATTTTTTAAATTTCCCCAAACCAATGCTCCTATATGATGAATATCTTTACAAAGTTGTACTAGGTACATTTTAACTTTCTAGTATGTATTATTGCTTTCATTAAACTATTTAATTTAAAATTTTGCAATATTTAATTTATTTTGACATATTGATGTTATCATGTAACGATTTTGCCTTTTATGTACTAAAACTTATTCTATACGTTAATTTGTATCCTTCATTTTCTCATATATACAGGGTGTTTCTCAAATAGGGTTCCAAACTTCTGCTGCGTTTATAACTCATTAAAATAAGTCAAAAAGTTCCTATTAACATGTGCCCTAAAACGCACCCTTAGGAAGTTATATGCCCTTAAAAGGGCTCAAACAAAACTGTTTTTTTTTTCAGTTATTGACAAAACGGTCGAAAATAAATAGAAACAAATTTATGGGTCTTACATAACTTTTTACGTTAAATAACATGGGCTACTCCGTTTTTCGACATGCAAATCATATGCGTCCCATTTAGGTTGGTGAAGGGGGATTTCGGCCCGTAATTTTTTTATTTCAATTTTTTTACAATTTTCTCTACAGATTTATAAAATCTTAACAATTTTACGTAAAAAATATTATCTTTGGCCAAATCGATATTTCCAATGGTTTTCGAGTAAATTGAGTTTGAAAATTCAGTAACATTATTTAAATAAATTGCAGTTATGAAGGATCCGATCATTTAATAAATAATTTAGAACATAAACTAAGACTATTTAAATTTAGAGTTACACTTACTAATTAAAGAACTAATTACTACTGCAGACAATAGCTAAATGTGAAATAGAAAATAATGGGATTAAAATTAGTAATAATAAGTTAAATTACAAGAACTGCTCGAAGTGACCACCTTGCATTTCGATGCATAATCTTTGGAAAATTCTAGGTGTTTGCCTTATTTCCATGCACGCGGTTTCAATTTCCTTCCGTATTTGCTGAATGGTCTCAATTGGAATTTTATAAACCTTTGCCTTAAGTTGACCCCACAAAAAATAGTCCAGTTGTTAAGGTCAGGGGAACGTGGAGACCAGGGAACAGGACCTCCTCGGCCTATCCATTTTTCTCCATACAACTCATTTAAGTGTTGTCTTACATTATGTAGGTAATGAGGTGGTGCCCCGTCCTGCATAAACCACATGCTTTGGCGTTCAATTAAAGAGACATCTTCCAAAAGTCCTGGCAAGTCGTTAACTAAAAAATTGTAATAATCCTCACCATTCAATCGATTAGGCAACACAAACGGTCCGATTAGCCGATCGCCTAAAATGCCTGCCCAAACGTTGACGGAAAACCGAATCTGATGTCTAGACTGAAATATGCTGTGTGGGTTTTCATCAGCCCATTCATGAGCGTTATGAAAATTGACATAACCATCTTTACTGAAGCTTGCCTCATCCGTAAACAAAATAAGGGATGCAAAATTCGGAATGCGCCTCGATTTTCGCAAAAACCATTGGCAGAACTGCCGACGTGGTTCGTAGTCATTCGGATTTAAAGCTTGAACACGCTGGATATGACAAGGATAAAGTAGTTGTTTGCAAAGAATTCGCCAAACTACGGAAAAACTTATGTTATGCATACGTGCGACACTTCTTACCCTAACCCTTGGATTGTCCTGCACAGCTCTCAATACATTTTCTTCCACCACCGGTATTCTTACACATCTGTCTCTGCCACGATCATTTACTCTTGGTTGGAACGAACCATTTTCTCTTAAACGTTGATGGATCCTCTGAAATACCTGTCGAGAAGGAAGTCTTCTATTCGGCCCGAATAGAAGATTTCCTTCCGAATAATTCGGGTATGCTGCCGCATACAGACGCCTCGCTCCTGATGCATTTCCAGCCGCACGGCCGTACATAAAGTGCATATCTGCCATTTCCGTGTTTGAATATGACTCCATTTTATGAGTTGCAATAATGTTGTATACCTACTTAAATTTTCCACTCACCACTTTTACTAATTAAACACTGCAAAGCTCAATTGACAGTTTATCAATAACTTAAATTATTAAGCGTTGTGAGTAGTATAGATAGCGGGCTCCTGGGACCGCCATCCGGAGCAACAGAAGACCCCAAGGGGTTGAAGGGGTGGTGCCGAAGACATAGATTTCAGGGTTATTTTAGGGTTGTTTTAGTGTCACCCCATCTGAAGAAGTGATCAAAGAAGAAGAAGAAGAAATTTCCAATGACCAGAAAGTATGACGCGAGAGGTACACAGGTGTGTTTCACCTGCCTCGCCAGCCTACACCTGAGCTAAGGTGAGTTAGTAAATCAGGTGGCATTTGTCAGGTATGATTAGGTGTGTCGCTGGGGCCTTAAACGGTGAGTTGGATTGTCAATGTAATGATAATTAATAATTAGACAGAAATAAAACAGAATTATCTAAAAATTATTTATTTCTTTCGAGATATTTTAGTTATAACATANCTTAAAAAGCACTATAAAATTACAATTATCGCGAATTAGTTGTTTGGGTATTGAGGAATATGTCTGACACAAGTAAAAACAATCTGTTCCTCTGTGTCTACCGAAACAGAAATAATCTTTCATAACGCTTTGATTACAACAAACTACGTC